TTAAATGAACTTAATTGCGGTATTGTGGCTGTCTCTTATACACATCTGTACCATACCTCACTGTGCATTACATGGCTGTGGAGAGAATCTTCAGATCTACAGGCCACACATCCTGTCATCACACAATGGCTACAGGCCTTGTCTACCAAACCACTATTCAACAAAGTAAATAATTAAAATGAATATGATATGTATTATGTAACAATTAAATAACTTTTTTATTCTGAATATGTGGCAAAGACAAGCCAAACCAGTCACTCGTCGCAAATCGTGTTACAGAGAAAATGGCCAAAACATGCTGGAATGTCAAATTTTAAAAAATCTATTTTATTGCACTAAACTAACCTTTATATATCTATACGTCATTCTATGCTGTTATTTTCCCCATTTTCAATGTTAAAACAACACTTTTTAAGGATTTAAAGATAGTTTCTGCATGAGAAATGCCTGAAATCATAAACTTTGAAGGCCGATTTCTCATATATTGTTCTTTAAACAGCTGTGTGATTAAACGCTTTTAACTTCATAAGGAAATGTCTGATTTGAATGATTTTTTTACCATTTTATAGCTATTATTTTACTCTCTAACACTGTATTAATAACTCAAAATCGATTTTTGCGACAAGTGACTGGTTTGGCTTGTCTTTGCCACATATATTGCTATCATTCTTTCTGTGTCTCTTTGTGTTGATTTTTATTGATTGGTTATTGTTAAACTTCAATTATGTATACAAGATTGCAATAACATATGAAGAATTAAAATTAGTAACTTGAATAATGGTTATGATAGGGCATAGTGTCTGTAAATTAACTGCAGGTTAGAAATCAGGCCTGGAATTTGCCTTCTTTATATCTAATTAATTTTTTTTTTCTAGTTGCCAAAAAAAAAAATAAAAACCTCACAAAGAAATCTATGCTAAAAATCAAATCTTAGCAACTTGAAATTGTTTACAGCAGATGGCACCAAAACAAGCTCTACAATTATTATCATATACCATTAATATGATTGAATGGAGTTGAATAGCTTGGTGGAGGGAACCTTACCTTCCAATCCCAGGGTTTGATTCCTGTTACAAAAACAGGACTTTTTCTCATGACCAAAACAACTCAAATCCCTAAGTCTCATAATGAGACTTGGTTTACTTAGAGGATCTTGTGTTTATATTTGTCTGGTAAAAGGGATATGTTACTTAGAAAAGTGATGGAATGATTTCGATTTGAATTTCTTCTATGTGATACACACCAAGGATTATGTTTGCTGTTTGGCAGATCCTTGGCTTTGGGCCTAAAACAATTAATAAAATAAAATAAAATACACACGCCTGCTAAAGTACCCTACGCACAACACAATTTATCATTTACCCATTGCACATCACTTTTGAGTATGATGCCATTCATTATATTATTGTTTCTATTAATTTTGTAGTAGCAAAATTTTAGGCAATTTTTTTCTTCTGCCTTACCGCTCGGCCACTCGACTAGCCTCATGTGATAACTGTGTAGATGCTCTATCAACTGAGTTGCAGTATTTAATGTATGTTGAACCCCATTTGGTTTTCCTATTTTTTGTTATCAAAGGTATTGCGCAAAATAAAAATATATACTAACGTCTTCACTATTGATAAAGATGATGAGAAGTTTACAAGAACAATGTTGATTCCATTGATATTCAAACTATTAAGACCCATGGGCTGAGCAGCTGACTCAGAGGTATTGTTCCTGCTTCTTGTGCTGAAGACCGTGGTTCAAACCCGGCCAGCGGTGGGTTTTAGTATGAGTCTGATCGCTTGGCTCCTCAAAGATGGAAGAATTAATTTCCGGGAGATCTACAGTGGCTGATCCTGGAATTCAAACTCCCGTGATTTCCAGGAGACTTAGGACCCCTGCTATCCTACATCTAAGTACTACCTCACTGTAAACAACCTTATACTTAGTTTATCTGTGTTCATTTAGTACTGATATATTCACAATTAGAATTGAGGTTGAAGCATGTATAGTAGTAATTACTATGCCATTCAAATATATTGTTTGTTTCTTTTCTTATTTTGACTGCTATTTTTTGTGATGCTTTTTAATTTGTCCATCAAAATAAATCAAATTTATATAAATAGAAAAACAGATGCTCTATTACCTCTTTACTTTCACTATTCAATGTTTCAACTGCACTCCAGACACTGTCATAGAGGGCGCTATTGAAATAAGACTCATTCATCCTGACATGTGAACTGGGTACTCTGCTTGGCTTGCTGGCTTTTAATTGGTCCATATGAAACCAGCGAACCCCTGCTTCTCGCCATAGATTTCACTGCAACAGAATTTTTCTGCTTCTGGTGTAAAACTTCTGAAGTTGATGGTTGTGTTTTTTGCTGGAAGAGCAGAAAAATAGATTATTGCATACTATAACATGTTAATAAAGACATATCGGTTATTCATCTAATCAATTAAAATACTGTTGTTGTTATTAAATATTCTATCTAATATCGGTAAAAATCTCCTACAGTCAGTGGTGTATCTAGTCTGGAAATGGGGAAGGGGCTAATGTGGGGGGGGGGTCCAAATTTGATAAAGATGAGTACTCCCAAACAATTATTGATGCTCAGAAGGAGGTCACTACCAAAATGAATAACATGAAAGATTTAATTTTAAATTCAAACTATTTTAACACTGACTCCATTATTAGATATATTAATACTTTAAACAATAACTCTTCTCCAGGCCCAGACGGAATTACTGCTCAACACCTTAAGCATGGAGTGAAATCAAAACTCCCCAAGATTTTGTCAGTGATATTTAACACATGTATTAAATACGGAGTTGTTCCAAATCTTTTTGAGGAAGGTACGTTAATTCCGATTCTTAAAAAGCAAAGTCTAGATCCATCGGTGCCAAGCAATTATAGGCCCATTATTGTCTCAAATGTTTTATCTAAGATTTTCGAGATATGTTTCCTCTAATTTCATAGGGATATTGAATTTGATGCAATGCAATTTGGATTTGTAAGTGGTCGAAGTACCAGCATGGCCACCGCCACCTTTAGTGATGTTATTAATTATTGTGTAAATCAGGGCTCCAGAGTGTTTACTCCTGTTCTTTAGATGCCGAAGGTGCATTTGATGCAATTCCCCATATCGTAATATTTAAAAAACTTAATTCTGCAATTAAATCTGACTGGTGGCGCTGTATGTATAAATAGTACACAAATATAAACGTCACTGTTAAATGGAATAATATTACTAGTAGAAGTATTGCAATCCGCAAAGGTACTAGACAAGGAGGACTACCTTCTCCATTTATATTTAACTTGTTCTTAAAGATCTGGTAAATGGTTTAAATGAACTTAATTGCGGTATTGTGGTTGCAAATTTTAAGTTTAATACATTCTGTTACGCAGACGATTTACTTTTAACAAGTCTTACCGCCACTGGTCTTCAAAAACTTATTGACTACGCCAACAATTACATACTATCTCATGGGTTACGTTTCAATCCCATTAAGACATCTTGTACAACATTTGGCATACAAAGTTTATCACAGCCCCGGTATGGACTTTAAATAATCATACCTTGAAAGTCACAGACTCTGTAACATACCTGGGGGTCACACTCAACAGCAATCTAAAGGGAAATTCTCTTGCTGATGCGAGAATTCATAATTCCCAGAAAGCCTTCTTTTCATTACAAAGTATCGGCGTGTGTAAACAGGGCTCTTGTACTGAGGTGACACTTCACATTTGGAACACTGTAGTTGTTCCTATTCTTACATATGGTTGCCAGTGTATTAATATCAATAGAGTTGACAACATGGATAAAATTCAAAGTAAGTTGGTAAAGGCATTTTTTGGTATCCCTAAATTTTGCAGGTCAACTCCTCTGTTACATGCAGTTAACTTGCCGAAGATTAAAGATATTATTTTGTCATCCCAGCTCGATCTTTTGTCACAAATATTTGCTAATGACTCCACCTCCAGGAAATTTTATGCCTATTACTTAATTGTGAAGCTAACGGTAACATGGTATACAGGAACACGCTTATTGATAGGATAAAGAAAGGCCTGGTTGACTTGGATATCTCTCTTTTCTCGACACTATTTAATTATAGCTATAGACGAAAATTGAAGACTTCAATTAAGTAAGAATAGTGATTGTATTAAACACGGTATTTGTGACAGTCTTAAGACATTAATCGATAGGAAAACATGTATTAATCAACAAAACCTCGACTAAATTATCATGCTCACCAAACCATTTTAACTCTGGTTGTCATTTCTTTCTGGATGAGGGTTTTGTTCGTTTGTTTTCCCGTTATCTCTGTTTTCTATGTAATTTTATTGCTTGTTGTTTGTGTTTCTCCTTTCTGGAGGTTTTTGAATAAAATTGAAATTGAATTGAATTACATAGTACCATCCTATTATACATTTTATTGTATTTTGTATTGTTATCGGCCAGAGGGTTAGAAATGACCACTTGATGTGTTGTTGGGCTTTCCTATGTCATCTCTAGTCACACCCCTGGTCAATATATATTGAAAGGTATTTGAGAAACCCTCTATTCATAAAAACTTTTTCATCTGTATAGGAAAGGATATTTAAAAGGCGAATTTTCAACACTGCATGAACAAATCAAAGGCAATATTTTTTACCTGAGAGTCATGCTGATACCATTCCCTTTACCACAATACAGTACCTGTTTCAGCAATAGCTCTGATGGGTTGAGGAACCTCACTTTGCACTGACCTTAACTGACAATCAAACTCAATATCAAAAGAGAGAGCCAAAATGTTAATTAGTTTTCCAGCAAGTTGTCAATAAATCACATAGGCATACCTATGGTATAGTATAGTATAGCTGACCTTGCATAGGCAATAAATTACAAAAGCTATGATTATAATCCAATTAAAGAGCAATTACCAGAGAAAGGCCTAAAGTCCCAAAAGATGGTATCAGGAAAGTTTTTAAAGGGTAGCAACACCTCATGATTTGTAAAAAATTAACTGAGCTTCTTGTTCAAAACGTGGACTGTTGATTGGCATTGGGGGAGGGGGGTTTACACTAATACATAAAATCAGATGTAACCTATAGAGTAAGGGCGGACATAAAAGAGGTGGGCTTATACCCCAAAACACTGCAGTATCACATGAATAGGAAGAGTCTGTACACATACCTGTCTCAATTGTTCTTTTTGGTTTCCAGTATCCACAATCTCCATCGAAGACGATTCCTTTGATATTAACATACGAGTAGAAATCATTATGATCCTTAAACTTGGAAATCATGGGACCACTATATGCACTATAAAAAAAATATTTTCATATTAAAATAGCAACCTGAAGAAGTTGATTGCATAAAGAAAAAGCTGGGTGTTCAATGAATTATATTTTGTGTATTAAAAGTGCTGTTTGATATATTTTTTAACTGATTTAGTTCAGACTAACACAGCTACTCAGGGGTCCTAAGTTGGAAGAAGTCACTTGCTGGAGATCTGGTTAATGAGCTTCTTAAAAACACATGTAACTTTATTTAGCTGCACATGGTGATACCATGGAGATACTCATCAGCAGCTGACTTGCGTGAGACCATTGATAATCACAGTACTGTAGTATAAACATGTAAGTATTAGAAATTTGCGCAAGATTGGTTCATTTCCAGGAGATTTATGCTTTCTTGGGGAATTGCTATAGGCCATCTTGTTTTGCTGGCGATCCCTGCGACTCTTGGAGATTTGGCACCCCTGGGCTACTACTACTACTAAATTATGTATATATTATAAATTTGCGTATTAAGATTGGTTAATTTTCAGGAGATTTCTGCTTTCTTGGGGAATTGCCATAGGCCATCTTGTTTTGCTGGTGATCCCTGTGATTTGGCATGCCTGGGCTACTACTACTACTACAAACAATATCCAATTAAAATGATCACAGGCGCTGTACAGGATTTTAAAAATATAAATTTACAAAAAATCAATACTCGATATACTACATGATATAACAAGATATGAATTTGGGAAGACATCAAATTCTACATTTTTTTTATTTGCTTAATATCAGTTTCTGGTTTTACAGCTTTCTGGGTCTTTCTCTTTTTTTCTTTTATGTCATTCTAGTGTTGAAAGTAAAGTGATCAATGATACCTATAAGCTTGTAAAAAAAAAAGAAGCATTAACATTTATTTGTAGACTTGTTTCATTGCCAACCTATTGGGGTGAGTAATGTTTGGCAATTAGGCCTAAAATATAGGCACATATAGGCCTTAATTAAATGCTGTTGTACTTTGAAACTAAACACAGCAATTTTTCCCTTATAAAAAATAGTACGATTGCCTAGTGCATTTATTAAAATACAATTTCAAAATTTTACTACAAAACACAGGTTGTTTGTGCTTATAGTGAATATTAAACCTTTGAATCTTGGTGTTAACATGCAGTCAATGAGTAAAACGTAAGATCAAAGTATTACATAACTATAAATAATAAGTAAAATTCAATAACTGACTAACAATAAATTATATTTAATTTAAACAAACTTTATAATTTGTATTTTCAACTATTTATCCTTATTTCATTTAAAATAAATGTGTATAATATATAGGCCTAATTCAGAAATAAGGCATTGCTCATACATAAGATTTGGCAGTTGATATTTAAAGTTTACTTTGTGATCTTCCAATATTTCAAGTGATTGGCTTCAGTATCTATTTGTATTTACAAAGAAGATAAACCCTAAATTATAAAAATAAAAATACTTTTTGAGAGGAGAATATGTACCTACCTGTGTTCTCCAGCTGTATCAGTGCAAAATGACTCTGGTAAAGCAATGATGAACCCAAGGTTTTGAGGGCCTAGAAGTACTTTTTTACTCAAACACAGGATCTTTTTTAGCCACAATTTTCCTCAGATTTAACCCAATAATTGTTGTGAACTTAGAAAAAGTTGCTACGGCCTTCAAAAAGTAAACTACTGGAAATATACTGGTGTTGACATAGGTTTTGCCTCGGAATAGCTTCTTGTATCTAACAAAGTAAACAAACACAAAACAAATATAACAACACACTTTTAATTGTCAAGCCTTGTCCACACTATCAAACTTTATTTCACAAAAATTGTAAGATGACATCATCTCATGACCATATATAGGCACAGCATCACTATATATGGCCATCAATACTTTCAGATGACATCATCTCATGACCATATATAGGCACAGCTTCACTATATATGGCCATCAATACTTTCAGATGACATCATCTCATGACCATATATAGGCACAGCATCAATATATATGGCCATCAATACTTCTTTTTGTCAAAGAATATTTGAATCTGAACAGAGCTTAAGGCATTGGGGATGACATGACTAGTGTAATCAAACCTAACAACTGGCCAAATAGAAGTTGTTATTCAACAGCCAGGAATACCTGCATGTGTCCACAAACAACCAAGAAGTATGTTTACACTATTTAAGGTCCCACACTACAGCAACAGTATTCAAGGGGTGGAGCTTAGTGGACGGCCCTATCCTATGCTGGTCACATGATAATAATAATAATAATGTTATATTTATATAGCGCATATTGCACATTGCCCCTATGCGCTTTACAGAGAAAATATAGGCCAACTGAGAAAATGCAAATAACAATAAAAAAATAAGGATAAAATAAAATAAAAATAATAATCATAATAACAATGAGACTAAACTACTCCTTTTCCTTAAACTAATTAATGGTTGGCCGTTGACTCCGAGGAGCTCAAAAGCAAAAGCAGGGTAACTAGGTTTCCTCTCTTTTGCCTAAGGTGGAAGAATATTGATTTTTCCTAAATACTTTGAAACAAGTGTAAAATTCTCATAACAATTCAAACCCAAATCTCTCCCCCTAGGATCTAATTGAGGAAAAACTGATGCACCCTGAGATTTAATTGTTAGGAACATGTGATCTCAGAGTAATGCATAATACGCAAAGCTGAATGTACTGTATTGGTCAATTACAAGTGTAAAAATGATATATCTATTATTATATGTACGATAACCATGTCCATAAATATGTAATGTCTGATAAGAAATTAAAAAATTTACACTTATATTTGATAGCACATTAAAGTGTATTGAAATGTTTAACAAACAGTGCATCATCACTTGTACAGCTAATTATGGTATGGTGTACTCATGATGTACTCTTGTGCAAACATGCAGTCAATATTCAAATTATCTGAGGCAGAATTATACAACAATTAGCAATTGTAGTCACTTCTAAATCTTGATGTTAACAGTGAAAAATATGTGAGAATGTGGTGTTATGCAGACCTGGTTATACATGATGAATTTATACATGTGATTCTCAAATATTTGAATAATAATGCTGAATGTATTCGTCAATTCCAAGTTTTGAAAAGATCTATTCTATTAATACGTATATAGGATATCTGCACACATTTGTCTCTAAATACACTGTCTGATGAGAAATTACAAACAAATATCCTCATAAATATATTTCAAGGATTAGAATAGCTTGTTTTGAAGGATCAACATTTCATAGTAAAGTGTTATTACAGACTAAATGGTATTAAAGGCTAATACAGTAGCATTGCATCAAACGCTTCAACAGACTAATATGGAAAGTGGTGCTCTTGGGCAACCAGTAATCAATTTGGAGGCGTAACTACTAAAAAAAGGAAATCAGCAGATGTTAGTAGTCGTAATGTAAATGCAGACTTGGTGGACATACAGTAGCCTGGGACAATGGTTTAATGTTTGCAGGGTGTTAGCAACAATGGCAACAGTTGACTTATCCAATGAGGTGAGAATAACTCCAGGATGTAAAATCACTAATAAAACAAAAAATGTATTTAATTGCATTTGATACTGCAAGTGCCATCATCAATGGCCAATATCTGCTTGAATTACAGTACACAAAAATAACATAAAAATAAATAAATTAATGAATTTATGTACAAAGGACTCGAGAAGGTTGGTTCTGGGATACTTAATAATAAGCTTGGTTTGCAGTAAAGGTGAGGGAATGAGTATACGGGCTTGAATAGAGAGCGGGATACCAGAATACACAATCATGCAGTCTGATCACACCGATTTCTGATGAAATTGAAGTCTAGTTTTACCTTACTTTCGATGATCACCATCACCAGACGCAGCTGACACAAGCTGCATCACTCCAGGGTTATTTTGCATCAAGTCAAAAAACGATGGCACAATGTAGAAAAGCTGGACTACTTCTGCAGCTAACAAACCACAATACCGACGATATCTGGAGTAAAATATAAAACAAAAATTGCCATAACATTATTGTATACTAGTAGTTTGGCATTTTACACAAGAAAACATATACAATTATGTTGCCAGAAAATTTGGATAAACCCGCAAGATAAAACTGAACTGATTTTTTAGGGAGAGAAAATGATTTGTTGTCAGTCTGGAACTATTTTGACTGCACTATACTTACTTTAACTACATATGAAAACTACAAAATTACTTTTTTTTCTTCAGTTACTGATTTTTACATAGACTAGTCTTGTTTACCAATATTAGAATTACAGTTTTGTTTCATTTCTTAAAACATACAATAAGCATTAGGCTTGGCATACACTGCCCCAATGGTCACCAACCAGATTGATTCAATAGAAAAGTGAGGAGGCATGTTAACAGACAGGGTTTTTTACCATGTCTGTTGACTGGCTTTTTGCTGTAATCTTGTGTCCAATTACAGTCCTTGTATCGTTATAGACAGATGACACAATTAATTCACTAGCTTCTTCCACCAAAAGTCTTGAGTGTCCCTGAAAAAAACACAGCCCTGATCAGATAAAGGTCACAAGATGGGTTAGAAAACACTCATAGTGCTGGTAATTAATAAACTTAACTTCCAATTCCAGGGTCATGGGTTCAAATCATGCAATGCTTGGATTTGTGAATCTGAGGTAATGTCGTGGCAAAAAGGCTAAAGTTATCGCACAGGCCAGCAGAGTAAATTACCTATAAAATGTTGGAGTTCAAAAATATTTGAAAAAATATCACTGTAAATCAACATAAATACAGGTAAATATCTAATTAATCGTGTCCAAAATTCTTAGGCTTGGGAAATGATCAACAAAGCATATCTTTTATATTTTTTGGTAGTTAATTGCATTAAAAAAATGTCTGCATTAATACAGGAAGCTAATTACTAACAATCATCTTTATCTTGACTCCAGTGGTGTGTACCCTCTACTACAGCTTGAATGTTCGATATTAATGGATGACCCCTCATTTAAAAATTACGGTATAAAATGTCTAAAAACAAAACTGATAAATTTTTAGTTTTATTCAACATAGCCTTTTTTCCACAACATCCCTCATATGTCAACTCCACTACCCCAGGCTTCATACTAAAAGAGTTCTTAAATTTATCAATTTCTACTTTATTCTTACATTATATTTTAAATATTTAAATGTAGAATACTTGTACACACACAAAATTCTGTGAGCCATTCTCAGATAATGTCAGTGCCACCAAACTTGTCTGTCAAACTCAAAAGACTGTTTCATACAGCAGAGATACTGACGATATCTGGAGAAAAATATAAAACAAAAATTGTCAACTGAAGAAATAGCATTATTTTATCCATAAAAGTAGGCATTCTATACACAAGAAAACATGTTGCCAGAAAATCTGGATAAATCCGCAAGATAAAACTGACTTTTAAGTGAGAAAATTATAAAATTGTCAGGTGTGAAACTATTTCGATTGCACTATGTATTTTCTTCTTCGATCCTTCTCCTCGATTGAGGGACAACAAATTGAAGCCTTTGGCCTAGGTGAGATGGATGAGAACTACTCATTCCTACAACTTACTTTTCCCTTAAGGTTCCTGTTGTGTCATACCAAGAAGGGCGCTGTCCAGTCCACAATTATAGGGGCTGTGAAATGGTAGTTGCTATAATACAACAGGATCAGCCGAGGGGGGCGTGGCTTGTATGGTGACGTACGTATAATTATACAGTCTACCTAAAAACTTCACACATGCACCGTGTGGTCAATGCGATGTTAGCGAGCAGGCTGAGGCTTAATTTTATGCTGCTGCTATGGCCGGGTGATGGACGATCGAGTCCATTTCCGGACGATTGGTCCAATTAGTATGGACGATCATAGGTCTAGTCCATCTAAGCCTGAGCAACTGTAGGTCAGACCAGGAGGCCTCTTCAGAGTCTGAGACCTAGTCTGGCCTAGTCCTAGTGTGTGCGTCCAGCAATTTGTACAGTCTGTCTACCTAGGCATAATATACATTAAGTTAGTTAGTCTAGCCTGTAATTTCACTGTTCCCTGGTCTAGCCTCTAGGCTACTGAAGAATCTGCACTGAATATGCCTATAATTATTTTTTAATGCATAACTTTCATATAATACAAATTACAATTCAGACATTGGAAAATTAATATTAAATTTAAATATTATTAACATACCGTTCCACTGAACCCTAGAAAGCAATAAATCTTAACTATAACAGTCATGTTGTAAAAGTTGTAATTTTAATTTACTTAGGCCCAATTTCTCTCCCAGTTAAAGATAATTTGTTCATAGGATTAAGATTCTGTTGTAATCGGAAGTAATAAAGATTGCGGCACTCAATCGCAACGGGTAACAATTGCAAAATCGATTACTGATCAACTACTATTGGTGAGCTTTCCAACACGATTTACTTTGCGAATAGGTGCAACAATTGTTACAACCGATCGCAATGCGAAGCTAGTCTAGGAGTGGCGCCTCGGACGAAGGGTCAGATTTCCCCGACGAGGGGTCAGATTTCCCCGACGAAAGCAATGTGGGCGTGGTTGAGCTTCGATTAAAAAGTTTCGAAAGTGGTCCAGGAGGAAAATCCCCCGAAAAAATTAACAATTTAGGGGTTTCAAAGGCTTATTCAATCGATTTTAGAGTCTACTAATATATAGAAAATACATATCATTTTTTTTCTCCCCAACAAATTGGGCCTTTTCTCCCTGAAAGGGGGGGGGGGCCAGCACTCACTGTGTAGGACTGTAGCCTGTGTAGGCCTGTGTACGCCTGTGTAGCCTGTAGGGCCCCCGGGCCCCTGCTGGCGCCACCACGGAGCTAGTCTAAATGGGGTATAAGACGAACTGGAGTTGAAATTATGCATGATTTCATGCATACTGATCGGCTACTATGATCGACATACATGCATACTGATCGACTACTATGATCGACATACATGCATACCGATCGACTACTATGATCGACATACATGCATACCGATCGACTACTATGATCGACATACATGCATACCGATCGACTACTATGATCGACATACATGCATACTGATCGACTACTATGATCGACATACATGCATACTGATCGACTACTATGATCGACATACATGCATACTGATCGACTACTATGATCAACATACATGCATACTAATCGACTACTATGATCGACATACTGTACATGCATACTGATCGACTACATGATCGACATACATGCATACTGATCGACTAATATGATCGACATACATGCATACTGATCGACTACATGATCGACATACTTCGGCTGAACCTATTGTATTACTGCCATTTGAGATGGACCAGAACACTGGAAGTCTGAAAAGATGTACTGAGGTCTTTATAGTGTACATGAGCCAATGGTGTACACCAGGACTTCAGTTTTCAGTGGCAGAACTACCTCAGGCTCAGCAGTTTCATTGAACCTGGGTTCCCAAGCTCCAAAGTCCCCGATCCATAAGAGCCCTGCCCCCTTATAAAAATAAATATAACTAGAGGGCACTCTGAGATTGCATACCACCGCGCCCACATCATAATTCTCCTTAGTATAAATTTCCCCGCATATTGTCCCCATAAAAAAATAATGGAAAAAAAAAAGTATACTACTTGGGATTTGAACTCGGGGCTGGTAGTGTGGAAAACACTTTACACCAAACCACTACACCAAACTGTTTTCACATATATCACTTTGAAATTAATGGTCATGTTTGTTTACACCTTACCGGCAAGCCCGTATCAGCACACATACACGTCTATATGGCAAACAGTTATATAAAGTTTTACGATAATTGTGTCCTTGACCTTTCCCTTACCCTTCAAAATTTAGTCACTTCCAGATATTTGGTAAAGGAACATTGTGGCCAAGTTTGACAAATTTCTGATAAAAACTATGGGCTGTTAGGCTGGTCACAACAAATATGCTGACAGAAAAATAAATAACTAAATAAATAAACAAGCAAAAACATAGCCTCCTGCCAACTTCGTTGGTGGAGGCAATAAGGTAATGTTTTATTGTGCATTTAACTATTTCCTTCCTTCTAGCCAAGTAATTTTGGAACCACAATTACTTGTTTCCTTTACAGATCCATAGTTTTCAATTTTTGATAGTAAATGTCAAGTGGAGTACTGAATAGGTTCAATTCCTGCCAGTTTTTATAAATGAATCCAAGAACACCAGTGTTAAACACTCAGTACTTATCCTTCATAATGTGTTAATCCAATTATAGTGATATAACGTAACGTTAGTTTATCGAGGGCGGGTTGAGCTAATGTATGGATATAGAGATTTCGTGATATTACGTGATGCTAGTCTTAGTAGCCTGTATAAAAATTATTAACATCAAGGTTACTATTTTCAGATGAACATGCCAGATTCTTTTGAATATCGCCTCATACAAGTCACTTAAAAAATTTTATGGAATACAGTTTTGGTTTTTTTTTTTCGTTGTTTTATCTTCTTTGTCTTTAATTACTGATTTTTATAGCAAGTACAGATTACTAATGAAACCACAATTTACAGTTTTTTTTTTTTCATTTCTTTACAGCATACAGAATGCATTTAGCTGAGCATACACTGTGCCAAAGGTCATCAACCAGTGCAATTTAATAGGAAGGTGAGGAGGCACATGAAAACAAACTGAATCCAATATAATCAGCATTAGAACAGGCTGCTGCAATGTTTGCTTCATTTTATTTTCCTTTAGTAGTGAGAGGTCAAATATTTACAGAATAATGTGGTGCTGCTATTCTGCTTGGTTTGATGGTTATTTTGTCACAGGAAGATTTTTATATTCTATTATAGTATACGGTACTTACATTTGTTTTATGACATGCTTTGGTGAACTGTTAGGCCTGACATGCATACTTTCTGTCAGTTATAGTGTAGTAAAGACACAGGTAGTCAGGGCTGCAAATTAACTTTTTCACTTGGTACTAGTAGCACTGCTAATTTTATAGGGCATCCCACCAAAAATTTTGGTAGCACCAACATCTTTTTCAGTAGCGCCAAATAAAATTCTGGCCGCCATTTTGAGTTGAATATTCTCACTCGCCTTAGCTTACCGTCGTCACGACCTAAACACTCAAACTCCCCCAATACAAAAACACCCCTTCCCCTAGACCAGCGGTGGCGCCAGAAATTTGCCGACAAGTGGACCAACATGTCCGGCGGAGGCAAGAGGCTGACAAAGCCTCAGGCACTGGCCTGGAATAAAAACTCCCTTGTAAGGTTCACAGGGAGTGTTTTTATGATTTAGTTTGGTCCAGAGGCCTACTAAGATTTTTACACGTCAATATTTAAGGGATTGGCAGTCAAAATAACGTTACTTGGATAGGATACAAAAAAAACAATACAAGATAGTTCCCAGAAATGAAAGAACACATGCATTATATTTTTTTTTTTTAAGTCAGATATTATTATTATTTTATTTTTTTTTTTTTCTTAAAAATATATACAGTCCATGTAACTCACTATATTTGCATCATCATTTTTTTTTATATAACATCTTCAAAGATACTTTTAGAAGACTGTCAGTATCACACAGCTTGGGAAAGAATACAATTTTACAATAAAATGTGGCAAGACAAACCAAACCAGTCACTCGTCAAAAAATCAATTTTTAGTTAATATTAATACAGGGTTATAAAAGAGTAAAATGAAAGCTATAAAAATAGTAAAAGAACCATTTAAATCAGACAATTTTGTGTTACAATGTTACAAGAGTTTAAAAATCTGTTTAAAAAGCTATGTTTGAGAAATCATGCCTTCAAAGTTTATGATTTCAGGCATTTCTCAGGCAGAAACTTCATAAAATCATTAAAAAGTTTTGTTTTAACATTGAAAATCGGGAAAATAGCAGCATAGCATGATATACAGATATAAAGGATAGTGCAATAAAATAGATTTCAAAAATGTTGACATTCCAGCATGTTTTGGTCATTACGGTATATCTGAAACAAGATTTGTGACCAGCGACTGGTTTGGCTTGTCTTTGCCACAAATGACAATAATTACTAAATACTGATAGATTATAACTGACATAAAATGATAAGTTATTAAATTTCCCAAAACTGATTGTTGAGTTAAATAGTGGTAAATGCTTATACCTTTCTAGCATTTTTATCAACTTTCACTGCACTCAACAATACAGAACAAATCTGACATCTTATGTCTCTTGGCAACAGCAGGACATAAACGTTTACAATCACTCAGCCTGCACTCAAGAAGCTTCTCAAGAAAGTTGCATGGCAGATTATCCTGATTTGACCTTCAGAAACAGAGAAAGAATGATCACTCTATAACAGTAGCACTAGCAGTGCAGGGAAGGGAGATAATCCCCAGCTTGAATGAAACTACCTCCCCCCACCCACCTTGATTTCCTACAACAAGTCTTATCGAGGTTTGTGGATTGATGTGCTTTTTCATTTGGAACCTCAGTGCTCTAAACCATGGCAGAGTCTAAAGACTCTATACAGTAGAACCCCTCAATTACGTACGGCATGGGCCCAGAGCCGTTCATAATTGCGGGTATTCGTAAAATTTGGGTTGATCCAAATTCCTATATGTTTGCACTGGTACTACTTACACTGGCATAAACTAGGCCTCACAAGCCTACACAGCTAAGTCTGAGGGGTCCTAGGCCAACAGTAGGCAGTTTCTAAGCATTCTGATCCCACTCCACACTAATTTTGTTTTGAATTTGTTTGTATGTTGTTATCTTCTTAAATACCTAGATTGTGGATTTTACTCCAACACAACTTCCATAGGTACTTGTTATATATTGATCATTTAATAAAACAATCAAGCACTATGTTGACTTTTAAAGCTGAAAATGATGATTAAAAGAGAAGTAAAACTTGTCGCATGCACATGTGTGAAGCCAATAAACACTGAATTTGAAGAGGCCAGTTAGAGGGCCTCCTTCACTTAAGAATTACATACTGTATAGTATGATATGTTGTTTTGTATGAGTGCTAATAACAGTTGCAATTCGAGCAAATTTTTTTTTTTTTTTTTTTTTTTCACTTGCTTTTCACTTCACTTTTTATGACGTCATCACCTTGATTTAGGAATTCGTTAAATCGGGTTCGTAATTGAGGGTTTCTACCGTATTTGGTTGTGAGAAACTTCCTGACATTTTCTACCATGATTGAACCTAGAACCTCGCGGTTATGTAAAGCAAGCACTTTAACCACAAAAATACAGCTTAAATCCATTCATTATATTGTTAATATTATTCACAAATTCATCTAGGAACATACCATTCCATAAAACTGACCCACAATTTAATGTAATTACCCACCATTCACTGTAGTATTCCACCAGGAAGAGGTCTCGCTGTAGGTTGAATGCCAAGTATTTGATCCTGTGTATATCAGTGTCCACATTCAAGTATTTGATCCTGTGTATATCAGTGTCCACATTCAAGTATTCAACCCTGCGCAAACCGAACCTATTAAATGTCTAATGGAATAAAAAGATAAAACATATCAACTGGTTTGGTAACAATAGTAACAAAACATCAATCAATTTATTTGGAAAATGCTATTGTTTTTAGGAGCGGCCATCGACTTGATGGTGCACCATTCTATAATTCAATGTACATATGACAAGTTTGGCTATCAACCAAATGGAATATTATTCTGATAAGGTTGCCCATAATGTTAAAACAGCCAAAAAAGAGACTCCAACAGGGGTGTCCCAAAGATGAGGGTTCTACAGAATATGAGGACTTTAAATAGGTAAGAATTAAATCATAGATTCATTGGTATTGATGTTGTAATGCTCTTTCTTATCCGAGCCACGATCGCAGTGGGCAAGGCAACGGTGGTATTCCGTTGACTTTCAATAAGTTGCTAAACAGATGAAATAAAAGAACAAGTATGGTATCACAAACGTCAAATTCTCTATTAGAGTCAACAGACTATTTTATTAATGATTATACTCACAGATGAAGTAAACCAGTACACTACAATTCAGTGTTTCCGAGAAGTAGGTCCATTAATTTCTAGAACGTCCTTATTCCTAAAGATAGAGATATCAAGTGTAGTACTGTAAACTCTTACCCTAACTAGTTGTCCATACATGTATAGCACACGATATCTCTCAGCTCTTCTCGTGGAAGGACCACAAGCAGAGGGAGAGAAGGCCGCCTTGGGAGCAGCATTAGCACTGGCAGCCAAGGGAGAAGGGCAGGATTTATTTCCAGACCAACACTTATATAGGGACACCATCAGCCAGTCAGACTGACGGACCAGGAATTACTAAGTACCAGCAATCACTATTAGTATTTCAGGGCTGACGTCCCATATCATTTTAGCATGTACTGTATTGCCAAAAAAGCTGTTACAACAGAGGGGGTAATAATAATAAAAATAATAATAATATGCTGTTTTTTATATAGTGCTCTATACACCTATAAGTCTCAGAGCGATTCTCCACATTATTACCCCAGTCATTAGAACGATGCCTATGGGAAAAATTCCATAGTTTGCTGCATGAAATATACTACTCCTACTACTACCCGATTGTTAGGTCTACATAGTAAAATTGTGCATTTTCAACTGTTACAACATTATTATTTAATGTACGACCGTGTAGGCCTACCCGCCCAATATACAGTAGGGACAGACTATGGCAGAGCAGCAGCCCCGAAACTTTGACTCAGAAATACCGGGATGGTGTCCGGTTAGGGATAAGTTTCACCTGTATATATATAAAAATAATCGGGATAATAATACACTACAACCAACCATACAAATTTGTCTTGGTTCTTTTTATGTTACTGATTTGTCTTTGAGTGAGTACAGTATGATAAAACTTCCAAAGTGCTATAAGCCATACAGTACTTCTTATTTCTTAAAAAGAATAAAAAAGAACTTGAAAGAATAAACCATAACTGGTTTCTTTGGGGTTTGTATTATGCTACTGTAGGCTCTTGTTAAATTACCAGTACTGTAGCACTAAAAGTAGTAGTTGTTTTTTTGTTTTGTTTTTTATCTTTGCCTAACTCAAATTACTTTAATATATACATTTTTTCAATGTATGGCCTCTGAAATCAATTAAATATTAAACACCTGTAAATGTCTAGAATGCTGGAGCTTCGGGGGATTCACCCCCTGGCCCCCAGCCAATGGTGCTTGCTTCACTCGCAAGTGCCCTGTCAGTTATCAAAAAGAACCCCCCTTTCAAAATCCTGGCCACGGGCTTGTATGAGACTGAAATGGATCAGACATTTCATTTATTTTGTTCAATTTTAAAATCATGTACAACGAAAACAAAACACCCCTGACAGAGACAGGATTAAACAAAAGCAAACTTAATTGCTGCACAAATTTTCTCTGCCGCCAAGGGGAACACTTAATTAACAAACAATAATAAATATATATATAAATATATCCAAAAGTTAAAATTTACAATAAAAGGCAGATAAGAATATAAAATACAGAATTACATAATTATAAAAAGTTAAAATAGCAACTATAACAACCGCCCAATCTCACTGAAGTTCAAAAATTAAAAAAAAAAAAGTTTAAAAATTTAAAAATACAGCAAAAGTCTGTGTGGATATGAGGTTTGGAGCAATTCCACCCACATCAAAAATTAAAAAAATGGCAAATAATATAGAAATATTAAAATTAAATTACACAAATCACAATTTATACAAATTAACCCAATTTTGTATACATTCGTAGCTGGTGACATTTGTAATATTTACATCATGAAAATTAGTCCGTCAGATATTGCAGTGGAGGTTTTGGCAACCGATGTTATCTTGTGCAGTGTCAATTACATCCTTACTTTACAATCAAAAGAATACAGTACATTCATTATTTGACAATTACGTGTTCAGATATAAGTAAAGTAAATGCAGGAAAAGTTATTAAAGTTGTGTGTGTTTTGCAAACAAATGCAAAGGAGATATTTCTTGTTACTGACTGGTAAACAATGAATGCATAAAAGTTGATTGTGCCCTGTATCCAGTTGTAGCTAAATTGCTAATCAATATTAATGAGTTTAAAGTTATTAAATTAGCTCACAGTAAATGGCACTCTGTTAGTGCATGCTACTGATTGAAGTGTGACCATGTTAATATGTTAACCAAAAGAAAGGAGTGGGTTAGGCAGTGGAATGGTACAAAGAGCAGAGGCAAAGCTTGTTCAAGTTATGAGGACTGAAGAGCCAGAAATTGCAAATGGAAGCTTGGTGTTATTTTGTTTAAAATATATTTTAAAGTGAGAGTAGAGATTAAGTAACTTGAAATTGTACTTACCTGAATTCAAATTAAGAATGATAGTGTGTGAAATGATATTTATTAACTAACAGGTTATAGTTGCATGGTACTGTATTGAGCCCAGTGGGGTTTTACATTTTTCAGTTTTTGACTGTATGGGGAGCAGGACATAACCAATGGTCTTGTGATGAAAGTGTTATTATACCACATTGGTTGCTGAACTGAGTTCAGGAACCGAGATGGTACTGACGTTATACTATATAAGGTGCTCAGGAACTGAGATTTTATTTGAGTTGAACATGTAAAGGCAAGCGTATATTGAGCTGGTTTGATGATGATATACAAAAATGGACACCTTGTCGTTTACAGTTGAAATATAATTTTCCAACTACAGTACTACTAAGTGTAGTGGAAAATAATTACTTTCTTCACAGAAAGACTTTGTGTCACACAAATAAATTCACCTTATAGTGGAAAACCGCATTAATACTCACCGATTTCTAAATCTGAAAAGTTGATATACTCCATTAACTTTAAGTCGCCTCTTTGCCTTTGAGAAGCTGTAAATAAAAAGAACAATAATAATAATTATTATTATAATTAGGCTTTATATAAGGCATTGTGCCTTCCAAGAGCAAAGTTTTACACCTTGTTAAAGTTATCAAAATGCCCAATAAAAATCATCTGGGATAAAAAAAATGACAGGGTCAAGTTGTTTTTGAAATCTTCACACTATACCAATAGTAATGACGTCATCTTCTTGTTTGGGATTAGAACAAATTACTTCACTTTACAACGAATGATTATCGGTCTGCATCTACCTTGGTTTGTTTGAGTTTACATTGGATCGGTTTACTTCACTGTGGTTTATATGAGTTCCAGTGGATCATTTCATTCTATGTACGACTGCTAAAGTTTTGATTGAATGGCATGGCCTTTTATCAGATTGGTTAAAAACGTATGTTAGAATCATGCGTATGTTTTGAGTTTAGACTGAGTGGTTCAGCCTTTACTCAAATGATTTGGTTTCTGTTTGGATAATTTTGTGTTCCATTGCAAATGATTTGTGTTTGAATGATTTGGACAACATACGCTTGGGGTATGGGATGAATGATTTCGTTTTTGAACGAATGGTTTGGTTTTTGATTTATGATTTGGTTTTGTATGAATTTGCTTCCTTACATTTACTTTGTATTGAAAGGTTTGGGTTTAGCTTGGATGGGAATTTGCTACATATTTTTGGCAGATTTGGTTTTTCATTGCTATTCTTACTCTGCTGTCATCGCTGCCAATGCTGCCGGTGCCATCGTTGCTGCCGGCACCATTACTGCTTCCAGTATCGCTGCCCACACCAATTTTTAGGTTACAGTACTCAACTGAACTGTAGATATATAGGCCTACAGTATTCTGAAAACTTCAATTAAAACACAAAATATAATGTTCCGCTAAGCCAGGCCCCTTGAATATTGTTGCTATGGAGCTACAACAACACAACAGCTTAAATTAAGAAATGTACTAGGCCTAGGCTAGGGCCTACTTCTATCTAGAAGGAGGAACAACAAATTTGTGGGGCCGTGTAGGGACTATTAATTAGCCCTGTTATGATTAGTCAGCTCAAACAGGCCCAGCCTAGCCTGCCTAGTTCAGTGCGTAGGCCAGCCAGGCCCCAACTAGGCTGCCTGTATGTACAGAAGAGTGGTAATTCAAGAGTATAAGCCTAGCCTAACTAGGCCTAGTAGCCTAGCCTATGAATACGTACTACTACTACAGGACGATTTTAAAATATTCTGCAAAAACAAAACCTTAATTTAATTTAAAAAAAAACGTGCAGTTCTTTAGTATACTTAAGTATATGAATTTGAATAACCAACCTGTTTAGACATTCGTACTGTGAACAGAGTTCGTTTCACATGCTAACTAAGAAGAAGACAACTAGTTCAATGAATGTTGACATTCCAACTTCAAAGTTTTCGTTCTGCATGAGCAATCACCAAGATGTCCAGTTTTTCATGGGAAGTTTATGATTATTAGTTATTTTTTGTTGGAGTATCACCAATTCTAAGAACGTTATAATAACGTTACGTGTTAGGTAATACAAATTTTATTTTGTAGAACCATAATGTACGTATAACCTAATTTCACAACCTCACAACGTTTGAACATTCTTACAACGTTGTGTGAACGTTGACATTAGCCACAATTAATTTCGCAAACGTTATAAGAACGTTTTGTGTTTGCTCGGTCCCCGGAAAGTAAAAAGAAAATGTAAAGAAAAGGAAATTATAGCATTCAAATCGCCAAAACGGCTGAGAGGTTATAAAAAAGAAAACAAATCAATTAGGTACCGGTATCGATCGGCCCAATTCATTTTGGACACAGTTTTGTTGCCCCTACATCCCCCCACTTACAACCCATGCGTTAATTAAATGAAACAAGAAATTAAATACAAGGAATACGTCAAGATTTATATCATCTCTTTTATTAAATCTTTATTAAATCAATTGCACCAAACAACAATATTTTCATGTAAAATAGGCCTATATACAAATGTAAGCGGCAAAGTATGTAAATAATAATATAAGAAATGAATTACTGAAAGTAAAAACTCACTAAGCTACAAGTTTTACATAATTATTTTTTATGGAACTAGAATTTAATAATGCTATCCGTGCCAAGGTTATTACATTTGCTCTTTATAGTTATTAATTTTGTATTATTATTAAATTAAACTGTTATTATTATTATTATTATTATTATTATTATTATTATTATTATTGTTATTATAATTAAAATTATTATTATTATTATTATTATTAATATTATTATTATTAGTATCTATCAATAAATTATGATATAATTTTCGTGGATTAAAATAGTTCTACAAACATAAAAAAGCAATAAGAATTACACTCATTAAGCCATTAAGCTTACTTCATTTGCATTTGTTCTTTTTAGTTATTATTTATTTATGAATGAAATGATAAATACAACACTATTGAGAACATGGAGGAATAATGGTTAAACAAATGTAAAAGGAACATATTCATTAAACAACAGGGGACTTAATGGACCAGTACACCGGGGTAGCCCCCCCCCCCCCCCCACCCTACACTTCTCAAAAAATGTACTGGGTTCTTAAAGTGCACACGAGCCTAATGCGTGTACACTGGGCTACGGTTTAAAGTCCATCCGAGAAGACTTGTTCCACCACCAGAACCATTAATTTGCGAGTGAGCCGTTTGAACCAGCGCCGAGTTGAATGTTACGGTGCCCCTGACTTTTTAACCGCTCGGCCAATCAACTCGCCAAATCAACTCACACTTTCTTTAAGAACATATTTTATAAGCGCACTGAGACTAAGAGTAAAATTAAGAACAAAATAAGAACAAATTGAGGCTGAAATAAAGTGTTAAATGAGGTTTTTATTCAAAAAAAAAAAAAAAAAGTAGAAACCTAGCAATCCTTATTTGCAGCAGATGTGACCGAGGGGGTATAAAGTGTCTATGTAATACCACGGAAGAATAAGTTTCATTGTAATACCATAATACATTAAATATACTGCTGTAAAATAATAATTTTGTTTGTTTGAAAAGTGTGTAAAAATATGAAAGAACTAACGGAAAATGTCCGGAAGGCAACAAGCTTACAAGTTGCGGCTTTATAGAAACGTTCGCATATGGAAATTTATTTTTGTCTTGAATCTACAGGTTAAAATACTGAATTGAATAAACTTATCACCAATTTAGCACACCCCGTTTATAGGCAAACTATTTTAATTAATTACGGCACCTATGCAAGTAAGTCTTGAATCTGAGAATTTTCATATTATAGCAGTACTGATTGACCGTATGAGAGTTGTTTTTCTCTTTTTTTTTTTTTTTTAATTGTTTTGTGTGAATCAATTACGCAGCTTAGGCCCTATCCTGTTTTTGTGACAAGCAAATTTTAGAAAAAAGTAAAAGAATTTTACAAAATGTAACTCATGCTATGTTAAGTGTGTTCGAATCTAGAGAAATCACATGCTGTATCGAATAAATTTTGCCACCGCGTTCATTTGCAAATTAGCTTAAATTTTATATAGGCCATAATTTTAAATTATGTGTGTGAAAATAATGCAAAACCTAAGGGTCTGAGTGTAGGAGCCATTGGATGTATTTAACATTCACCCGATACCCTCTACTAATCTAAATCCTGCAGGTCGCTTTTATTTTAAATATGGCACTAGTTAACGAATTGTAATTACAGTACATTCATGTAAAGATGGTTCATAATTTGATTGACTTACTCCCCCGGAGTAAATAGATGCAAATAGAATTACAGAAGAAAATTTATTTCTGGGATTGGGAATCACCTTGCTTTTAACCTAAAATAGTAAAGCAATTTTTAAAAAGAATATAGTGCAGTTCATGTAGGAAATCAGGCATAATTGCATTTGTCCATTCATTAAGATATTACGAATATAGGCATATATAGCGATTGTTACACTATTTCATGGCTGTAGGTCTACTAATAGTGTGGGAATCTTCACTGATGCTCAACGTGTATCATTTTCTAATAATCCTACGTGGAATGCCATTAGTAACGACTCTCACTTTTGATATCGAGTAAGCTATTACAAGTTTCAAATGGAAAGTGGAAATCAGAGCCATAGAACGGCTCTGACGACGGAAATCATGGAAATTAGAATTTCTATATACTGTAGCAATAATGGAATTAACAGTCTACCGCCCTCCATTACAAGTCGTGTTATTTAAGTGTTTAATATACAGTACTTTACTTATAATATTGAGCCTTTTAATTCGGTTAGCTCGTAAGTTGTTAATTACATAGGCCTGTATCATTTACAATAGATTTTATTGAGTTTTTTTTTTTAACATTCCCTGTTTTAAATGTATTCATTTGAAAGTAAAGGTTACGATATGAGGCTGTATTTTTTTCCAGTCTATAATGATGTGTCTCTGAATTTCTAATTTAGAGACATTTTTTAGTAGAATTTCGCAAGT